CGGGGGCGGGGCCGCGGGTTCCGGGGGCGGTGGCGCGGCGCGGCCCGGCCCGACCTGTGCCTCTGCCGCCGGCAGCGGGCGTGGAACGGAGCCCCGGGATCGGCCCGGGGCATCTCGGCCCCCGCCCTGCTCTTACTTCCATCTGAGTCCCCCAGGGAACGTTGGCAGCGGAGGAGAACCCGTGCGGCGGCTGCGGGAGGCCCGGGGGGATGCAGGCCCCCTGCGCCCGGAGAGAGATGGGGGGAGGAGGGCTGTCCGTCGGCCCTACCCGCTCCACCCCCACCCCCCCAAAAAAACCCCAACAAAACAGAAACCTGGAATCACGCAGCCGGACGGACCGAGGCACCCCAAGCCGGCCGGGGCTCTGCCTGGGGCAGCAGAACATTGGCAAGTGCAGCAGCTGCTGAGATCCAGGCAACACAGCTCGTAGGTTTTGCCTTGAATAGCGAAGATCGCGGGTTTCCAGCTATTTTCACGAGCAGACCGATTTTAAATAGGGATAGAAAGAGCCGCAGCGCTGCAGAAGGGGAGAGAAGACGTGGGTGCTGCACCCATGTGCCAAGAGCCGGCCCAGCAGCATCGGGCGCTGCAAAGGGGCTGAAGAGCATCAGAACATCCTCCTCCTCCTCGGTCCCCAGCCAGCAAGCCGGTCCACCAAGTACCGCAGACGAGAAGCAAACGCTGCAGGAAATTCAGCGCAGGATGAAGAGAGTTCTGCCTGAACACACCTTTGCACCTTCGACGTTCGGAGTCTGCTCAAAAGCAGATGGCAAGGCCTAGCGATAATGGGGCGGCCAGGGAAAGAGCGGTCCCTGAAAAGGGGTGCCTTTGAGAAACACCCCCGGTCACCCAGAGGGACCGCATCTCCCAGCAGTCTGCTCTTCAAGACAAGAAACAACAGATACTTGGATTTCTCTAGGAAAGGGTTGATGGCCAATAGCACAAGAAATGCCAAGAGCCACCTTGTTTCTGAGAACCTGACCTTTTCACAACAATTTGAAAAACAAAATATTAGCATAGCATATGACTTTTATATTAACAAAACACATAAATCATGCAGAACAGCCCTTTCAACCTGGAGCAGCTTCACCACTCTCACCCACAGAAAGAAGCAACTCACAAATTTAATGAGTAATTCCTGACTAGCAACATTCTCCTCTCTTTAAAAGAAAAAAGACACAAGGTTTTAAAAATATGTCCCATTATTTCTTCTCCTTAAAAAGTGAAATGGAGCTGAAGAACCTCATGCATACAAAAAAAAATCAGGCAAGTTGCAAAAGTATACACAGCATTTTAGATAACTCCATTCGTAAAAACATTTGTGATTCCAATAAACTGAAGTGCTTTCATAAGTGAAATGGATGTTTCGATATCCTGGTTTGCCTAGCATTTGCATTGCTCTTCCATAGGCAATGAAAATGGAGTAGTTGATTTTATTTGCAGCTTAAGCACTAATACAGTTTCACATCCTTTAAAGTGTAGACACTTCAGAGTAATCTTCCTTTCTGTCACTGACTTTAACATCTAAAAAGAGCACAAAACCTTTCTTTTGCAAGTTGGAGAACAAATCTCATGTGATCACTTTAAAAGCAATCAGAGAGGAAGCAATAATTACAGACACAGTAAAGTCTTTAGAAGCGTCAACAGCCTGCTGTTTATGCTTCGCTGTATATTGCTAACTTTTATTGCTCACACAAACCACACGTAATTTACTGCGCTGAAACAATCCAGTAATGAAAAGGCACCAAAGGTTGTGTGTGTTCGAGTGTCCACATACCCAGTACCTCTGTTTCTACATGCACCTCATTTCTAGCCTTTCTACGCACCACAGGCAAAAAAAATATTTTTTGTCATAGCATGAGGAGTTTAGCAGGATGCACAAGTATTCCTCCGAGACCAGTTGACTTGCCATGAACCAGAACCTTAAGAAGTCTGTCCTTTTCATACCCTTTTCATTCCCAATTCTTCAGGGCAGACAATACCATCCATGCTGATGGTACCTGGCAGCTATCGCTGCCTAGATGCTAAAACCTTTCTATAACAGGTTTTCTCATATATGTGTGTATATATATATATATCTATATATCTATATATATATATCTCATAGAATGGTTTGGGTTGGAAGGGACCTTCAAAGATCATCTAGTTCCAGCCCCCCTGCCATGGGCAGGGACACCTTCCACTACGCCAGATGGCTCAAAGCCCCATCCAACCTGGCCTTGAAAGCTTCCAGGGATGGGGCAACCACAGCCTCTCTGGGCAACCTGTTCCAGTGCCTCACCAACCTCACAGTGAAGAACTTCTTCCTTACATCTAATCTAAATCTGCCCTCTTTCAGTTTAAAGCCATTACACCTTGTCCTATCACTACATGCCCTTGTAAAAAGTCCCTCTCCAGCCTTCTTGTAGGCCCTCTATAGAGAGAGAGATATATTTAAGAAAACTATAACATACATACAAGTCACTGTAACAGGTGACTTCTCCCTCTTAGAAAAGTCACCACCCATTTTCACACTCCTCCCCGCATGCTTAAGAAGCAGGCTATGAAGGGACATGGCACCACCTGCCATCTTCAGTTCCTTCCACCAGAAGCAGGGGAAGGGACAAGAAGGGACAAGACTCCACTTTTATGAGCTAGAAGACAACAACAGCTCTGCACTCACTGAATCATTTGGCAGGGAACTGGCCGTGAACAGATGATGCAATTCCTGCTCCCAACCAAAAAGGGTACAAATAGGAAGTGCCTTACCAAGCTGAACCTCTGTGCTACACACTTGGTTGTTTACAAAACTGCTCAGCAACTGGAATGCACAAAACGTGCTTGAGACATGGTGTTTGGTGACTGGATCTGAAACCTAAAAGAGGGAATGGATGGTTATCTAACCCACTACACATGGACTCGGCAATATGTTCCTCACAGCTATCCACAAAGACCTCTGAGTTTCCTTAACTCCCATGAAGGCAAATTTTCTGACCATCCAGGCAGTTATGTTTTAATCCTTTACAGGAGAAGGAAGTTTAGAGAACAAAGCTAGAAGAATAATGTCGTTACACATGAAAGTCAGCTGTTGCTGTTGGAAGGATGCTGTGTCAGGACAAAGTACAATTTTATCCTTGTGAGATAAAAAACTGATAATGAGGTGTAACTCATTCACTCAGCTAATATTACAGATAACCTACACTATATTGTCCTCTTGGCCTGAGTGGGACAATTAGAATTACCCTTCTACTACACTATGATGTCATCACTTTCTTTAATCACCCTCTGGATGAGGGTGGAGGAAGTCCTTCAAAGCAGGTTTCTTATCCAACCAAGAAAAACAGCAGCTGGAAAAGCTTCTTCCTGTTCAAATTCTTCATTATGGCAAACAGAAACTCTGCAGACTGAAAAATTAGACTTATTGCTAATTTCATTAGCACATATTTTCCAAATACATACTACAAAGTTTTGTTTCTTAGAGCTCTCCTATCTCACAATGACAAGACAAGCAATTCCAAAAAATTTTATGATGTCTCCCCTTCTGTCTATAGCAGAAGATAGGTACAGCTGGGAATGGAAATAGTTACAATCATTTAAGCCAGCATTTTGTACCATGTACACCACGCTTCCCTACTTTACCGGGGCTGCTCATCACCAGTTCACTTCTCTAGCATGTTGCACTGGGGCTGTATAATGACAACACGTGTAGGTGTGCCAAGGCTGAAGATGTGAAGACAAATTGGTATGGGTTTCATTGCAGGTGGGCCAACCCGAGCACCAGAATCCCTGGGGGGAGCAGGTTCACAGAGCTTTGAATGCCACAGTTCACTGCTGTTGTCCTACTTTGGTTCAATGTAGTGCAGTGCCTTGTGCTACAATTCTCCCGTCAATTACTACCTAGAGATATTCAACAATTTGCTGTACACATCATTAACCTAAGCCTAAGCGCAGTGTTAGTTAGGACCAACTGCAAGGGCTGATAGCTTTCTTCACAGGATGATCACTCTTTTCCCATCACCTTTGAGGACCTGGTGTCACAGTACCAGCTGT